TATAGTTAGTGAATCCCATCATACACATTCAGCTTTCCCCTTTAAAAAGACGTCTCAGATTGATCCGAGGAGAACAGAGAGCGTGTTTGATGTCACTTTAATGTCAGGCTTTGATGAAGCAACATGGTGGGTGACTGTTCTCCAATGCGGACAAGCATTTTTGTTCCGTAACAGAGCAACACCGCCATCTGTGCTGGAATGATAACGGAGTGATGGAGCGTTAACGCGCGCGCCTGGACGCCGGACTCGTTCCTATGTTTTCGCTATGCAAGTATTACTCACTCGTCATTATGTGGTTGTGTTCAGCCTTCAAACATCACAGTTACGCCTTTGGCTAGCAACAGTCTAAGGAGTTAAAACAGTAGCTTACACGGTCATAGTTTTAGTGTACGCAAGACAAATGCTCAATTAAAAACAGTATTTACAGTAACATGGCAGCAAAAATCATAAACAATACAAAAAATGTCACAGTTAACTGAAGTGCATGGAATGCAAACTCTAGACATGAAATTCAAACTTCATACCATGTTCTTTTTAATAATATATGATCTGTGTTTGTGACCAGTGTGTAGTGTTACTAAATAAGAAATTACAGAGCTAAAATATAGTGGGCTTCTAAACATGCAGCAAAGTGGGTGGACATGATGCGTCACTGTCAGAACTCCTTCGTGTCTTTATTTTCAAACAGGTGAAGTCTCTGCTCAGCTGTTAGCCCTTCCTTTAGACTCTGCGGGGAGGAAGAGAGGAGAAGCACACGTCGGTGTCAGTCAAAAAGAATTCGAGCAGAACTTTTTTTCTCTGGACAGACGTGCTGCTCTGAGCGGGAAGTGTCAATTTAAACCTGTTGTCACCCAGTGATTGAACATCTAAAAGTGAATCATGAACACAACACATGACATTTGATTGCAAGCACTTACAACGGGTATAGTAGAGAGCATACGATTATTAGATGAGTCAAACATGTAACTCAACACACCAACACATATGGTCTGAATTTATACAGCGCTTTTCTAGTCTTACATATTCGGGCACATAAGGGCAGCACTTTTTTTTCTACGAGGGGCTCTGGGGTTTAGGTTTCAGTGGAAGACTAGGATAGACCGGCCGACCTTCTGGTTAGAGGATGACCGCTCTATCCTCTCTGCCACAGCTGCTCTTCATACTCCTGTTAGTTAGTTTTTCTCTTCACTTCTCGTCGGTTTATATAATTAATTTAAACATTTTATGCTATTATTTGTCTTTAATCAGCTTAGGTTTTTTTAGAAGACAATATTTGCTCTTTGCACCACATCCACCCCAACACTCATTCACACAGTCCTACTATGTGCTGTATTTGTTCTATCACACGACATTCCTACATAGCACAGCCGTCAGGGGTTAAGCATCTTTCCCAAGGACAATTGAGCAAGTGGATTTAAGCCAACAACCTTCTGGTTTGTGGATGAAACGCTTCACCTCCTGAGCCACAGGAGGTGGCTCGATCCCTGCCTCCCCTATTCCACATGCCGAAGACTCCTTAGGGCAAAATACTGAACCCAAAATTGCCCCTGACGGCTATCTGACAGCGTGTGAGTGATGTAAGACAGATGAAGTGCTGCACATTGATGCACTGCATGAATGTGTGTGTGAATGGGTGAATGGTAAAACGTTAGTGTTAAGAGCTTTGAGTGGTCACCAAGACAAGGAAAGTACAAATGAGGGGGTTAGGAGTTAAATACGAGTCAAATTAATCCGTTCACTCGTCCGTCCATGTAGCAAACACTAGCGAGCATATGTCAGGCACAAACCCTTTGGCCTACTACCTATCTACTGCTAACGTCTGTCACAAGTCTACACACAGAAAATGCTCACCAGCTATTTACTGTACTCCACCCTGCTATGAACTCAATGCTAGGTTCAGACGCTAGACGTTTATCTTAAACAAGTCACATTTGTTTTTGTGTTTGTTAATACACTCCCACCCAAGACACACATAAACACACTGTTTACAATATTATTATCAGACAAGACAATTGTTATTTATCTAAAAGTACATTTACTGATGTATTCAGTTCCATATTTGACTCATCTGATCCAAAGTGTGGCACAAGTCTGTAGCAACCCATCCACAAAATACATCAGACAGAGTAGTAATTATTATTATTACAAACCCAGTGATAGGTCAGCACACTATAGTGAAGTGGTGAGTCAGGTCTACACTGCTCGAAAAATTTAAAGGAACACTCAATGGTCACAGTTTAACACCAAGTCAGTTCAACTCCAGGGATTTCAATCTGTCCATTAAAGCACACGTGAATGTTAATCAGTTCAACAAGTGCAATGAGACAAAATGTCCTCCAGCGGGCTTCAGGTGTGCATGTTTCTGACCAAACTGTCAGAAACAGACTCCATGAGGGTGGCATGAGGGCCTGACATCCTGTAGTGGGACCTGTGGTCACAGCCCAGCACTGTGCAGCTGGATTGGCATTCACCAGATAACACCAGAATTGGCGCATTATCATTTGCTGTCATGAAATTCACACAAGTTGGATCAGCCTGTGATGTAAACTTTGATTTTCAGATTGTTTTTGAATCCAGCCCTCGATGGTTTGATGATTTTGGTTTGCATTGACTGTTATTACGTCATTTTGTTCTCAACAAATTCTACAATGTACATCAGTAAAGATCTTCAACTTGAATCATTTCTTCGTCAAAATTTAATGTGTGATTTAAGTGTTCCCTTAACTTTTTGGAGCAGTGTTTGAAGAACTTTAGAGGAAAGGAGGAGGTGCTCAAACCACCAGTGGGTGCGTCTGGTTGGGTTTACCTAAGGGAGAAGGGGAGGGAGGCCTACACGTCCTCAGCAGCCCTGTCTGTCCTAGGGAGTGTCCTGACTCTCAGACTGAGGACAGAAGGGAGTGTTAGACTACCATGACATTACTTCAGCGTCATAAACCCAAGACTGGTAATTTTGATGGAGTCACAAAATGGATAGATAAAATGCAGCCCGGCAGGAACACAGTGGGCTTGTGATGCTGCATGCAGTTTTGCACAAGACCTCAAGATGGCAGCAAGTCACTAAAAGCTGCTTCTGTCTTTGTTTAGTGGGAAAGCTCGAATGTCTCAACAGGATGGCTCTGTCCGCTGTGAAATGACACAATGGGTGATACAGTCCTGTGGATATCCTGAATTAATCAATCAATATTACACTCAACCAGAAACCCACCTTCGATCTCATGGTGCGTTCTGAGCGCTTAGCTGCAGCAGCTGCCATCTTGAGGATGTCGGGGTTGCTTTTGGATTTCATGATATCTAGAAGGGAAATCATGACAGAGTAAAATAAGGAAATAGAGACAGGATCTAGTCCTGAGGTGTACTGAATGCTAATTTAGTTGACACACAATGGTTCTCACACAACAACCACTTATATGAACAGATTAGTTCGTAACCTGTGAGTGATGCCGAAGTCATGTAGAGAAAACCTTTCACCATGTGTCTGACTCAAGAGTCATAATGTTTGGATGTGGCCAGATGGTTGACAGGTTATGATGTCAACAATGAACTGCGACACTCTCAGTTTGAATCTGTGTGGGAACATTTTCTTTTGCTTTCTTAGTCATCTCACTGCTATGAGCGTCTAACAAAGCTAGAACAACATTTGATTTATGGACAAAAAAAAGCTCAAGCTCAACAATAAGTTAATCTTAACACATTTTAAGTTTTAAATATGTTGCAGAGCAAAATCAACTTAAGTGAACATAAAAATAATTAATTGAGTTAATTCATTTTCTTTTCTTTCTTAATATTATGATTTTATTTGCATGAATAATTGAAGTATGTCACTTTTTACAGTCTGTGGTTGCTGGTGAAGTTCTCTCAGGGTCTTTATGAAAGAGAAGCAACCTTATATCATCACCTGTTGAATTATGCTCTCCTTGTCTTATTCTCTATGCAGCCTTATGTCAACAGCCATGGACCACTGTTTATTTAAGAAGTCTGTTTTTAGTCTGTAACTTTCTGTCACAGTAAGATATTTGCTTTCATGTTTGATTTTGATTCGCATTTGAATAAGTCATGTTTACATCTTCTGAACTCGGTCAACAGAAGACGAAGCTGCCTCCAGTCAAATCCTTTTTTGTGTGAATGAAACTTGGAGACTGAGGTAGCATCTGTGCCATTATGGCCCATGCCTTCAGTTTTGCCCCTTTCAAAAGGGGGTCATGTGAAAGTAGACTGGTGAATCAGCAAAGGGTACATCATGACCAAAAACACCCACTCAGTGTCTACGTCATCGTTTCCAAACGTCTCACTTTGTCCTTGTCCTGGCTAAAACGCAGCCCTGGAGTTTTCCAATCAAAACGGGGCCAGCAGAATTTCTGGTGTCTCCACAGAAGAGTTGATGTGTTTTTCGAATGAAAATGTAGTAATATGAATGTTTCTAGTGTGAAGGACCAGTGTGTGTGTCTCCGTACCGTATCCCCCTCGCTCCACCTCCTCCAGCGATGGCTCCCCAAGAGCCTCGTGGGCCAGCTGCAGCTGGTCTCTGAGCCGCCCCAGATCCCGCTCCCCTTTGGCCTTGACGATGCTCAGCTCTGTGTAGATGTCCTTGTACTTATCTGTTGCATATTTCTTGTCCTAAAAAAACACATTGTTTGGCGGTTTAGATAAAGGGCACTTGTGTTGACTCTCAGCTCAGAATTCCCCATGTCCCCAAAACAGAACTAATAAAAAAAAAGAAAACACATACTCTTTGGGCAGATTGGAGTTCTTCCTTTAAGGAATTTATTTCCTGCTTCAGGTACTGGACCTCCGACTCCTTCACCCTCAGCATTACCTGGAAAACAAGAATATATTGGATGATGTTAAAAACAAGAAGTAATAGATTTTTACTTCCTGGGATTAAGATTTTGTAAGTATTTAGGAGAATTAGCTGCTTTTTGAAGCCTCGGACTGAGTACTGATGTGTTTGGTTGACTTTTTATTTAACAGAAAAGAGAATTACACATATTTTTATATGTTATTGCTTTAAGTGGTTTTTTCTATTGAACCTTACTTCTAACTCATAGAGCTCTTTCCCCTGTATTGTGGTGTTTGTGTCTCCAACTCCGTCCTCAGATGTCATGGAGCGCATCTTTGTGATCTCTGCTGCCAGACGGTTGTTCAGCTCCTACAAAGGCCACGAAAGAACAAGATTAGAGCAGGTGAAGTGTTTTCATGCTCACTTTATCACATAAAAAAATGTAATCAAAAAGGTATTTGGTTCAGACCATACAAGGTAGGTGTGAAGTGTCATCAACAAAAGGTTGTTGACAAACATATTTAGTCATATTTCTCACAAACGAAATCAACACTATGGTGACCTGTGTACCCCTCCGAACAAGTGGTATAGCTAAATGATGGATGAATGTGTTGTGTGTATCAGTGAGCCTCATGATTGTGTGTTAGAGTGTGTGTGTCTGCACCTGGTTGTGCGCGTTGAGCTCCTGGTTCTCCCTCTGACACTGCCTAAGGGCCTGCCTCTCAGCCTCCAGCGCCTGGGCCAAGTGTGCGTTTTCTAGGCACTTCTGCGAATACTGCTCCGACAGCACCTCGATCTCCCGCTGGTACGAACACAACTCCTCCCTGAAGCACACAAAACCACAGACTGAAAAACGTCCAGGAGAAAGCAGCCAGCAAATGCAGCAATGTGTTCAGTTGGTTTGGTGACATGCTTGATCTTTACTCTAAATTCAAACCTGCAGCCAGATTAAAGTTTGTTTTGGTTTAATAAGATCAGAAATGAAAACACAAGACTGGAGCTGTGTCAGTAATTCCATGTCTCCTTTGCTACTGAAGCCTTACACCACAAGAGGTTCTTTGTCTTCTCTATACATACAGAAACAGCTTCAGGATCAGTAAGTAAGTACACGCTGACAATTTCTTACATTTGTAATTTAGAAAAGAAATCTTCCATTTCTTCTATGGTGTTTTTTTTTTTTACTTTGCTCAAATTCAGCTGAATGAAAGTGTATTTGATTAACTGTTCGACACACAACAATACTCAATATATTTATTAACAAAATGAAATTGGTGGGCAAAAGGAACATTATGAGCAACAGCATATATATTAATCTACTAAATATATTTTTTATAAATGTAATCTATAAACATTATCACAACTGACATGTTACAATACAGAACTCTATAAATCCTTCCAGTTTTCTGCATTTTCTGTCAGATGAGACTTTTAGCTGCCTTTGTAAGATCCAACTGCCACATTCAGGTTTCTTCAGACTAAAGCCATCATGCAGTGCCTTGATAAGTATAGTATGACTACACGGTACATGTGGCAGTTAAGGAAAACGTACTCATGCTGTCTGTGCATTTCATCCATGTCTGCGTTCTCTGCGTTGTTGTTGGCCTTGCGAGCCCTGTCCAGCTCCTTCTCCAGCTCTGAGCGGTGGGCGTTCTTCATCGCTTCAATTGCTATGACAGACATAAACACATTTAATGACTATAGTGCAACATGCATGTTTTGATAGCAGTTCTAACAGGCAACAGAGGCAAAAATGACCAAAAAAACTATACAAATACCTCAGGATGAAAAAGCGGTGACATGCACGTAGAAGACACCAATGTCAAAAAAGCTTTTGGTGATAAGGGCAGATGCCGGTGTTGATGTGCTCTAAACAAAAACATGTAATCTCTGCAGCAAAATGTATACTTTACATCCTGCCTCTGGCTGCCACGCCACCCTTTTGCTTGAACACTGGGGAGCATTTTGTGCTGTTGTAAACATGTCCGAGTGGAGAACCTCCTGCCGTGTTTTGCATGCGTGAAAGGCAACCTCTGGAGAAAGCCTGGACAAAATCAAACTGGCAAATTCTCCATACATCCTCCGGGGGTCTTTTCTGGGTCTTTTTTTTTTTACAATTCTTTTTTTCTGCAGTGCTTACCAGAGATGGTTGCTGCCGTTTCCTCTGCCAGCAGCCTCTCTTTCTCCTCATGCAGGTTCTCCAGCTCTCTCTGGTGTTTCCTCTGCAGCTCATCTATAACCTTCTGATGGGACTCCTCCATGGCAGCGAAGCCCCTCTCACAGGTGGCCTGTGACACAGGGGAACAGGGTGCAACTGTTAATTTACGGCTCATCTTGATACAGACCAAAAGGTTCTCCTGACTCATATGAGCTGGGCAGGAGAAAAAAAAACCTGGGTCCTACAGTATAAGCCAGAGCAGATCATCCATTTATCTCCAGCAAATAACTTGCAAGCCACAGCCTGTTAGCCACGAGCAAGTAGAGCCTGTGTGAGCACAAAAAGGGTTAAGAGGAAGGACAGGATACAAAATTCAGTAAAGGAATAAGGAGACAATGAGAGGAGTGTAAAAAAGTATCTGCTGCCATTTACTATTTTCAACACAACATTCAAACTTGCAATGATATAATCACATCCATCTTCCAAACTTAGCTCAACAGAAATTTCATTTTTTGCAAATCCAAATCTTCCCACTGAACGTCTGAGATACTAGAGCAAAATGTATCTTCAACATTTGGCCTTTTTGAGATCAGCTTGTCAAACTAGCACCTTTATGCAATATGCAGGATAGGACTGATAAATATTTCATTACGCTGCTATTATAACTTTAGTGCAACTTTCCACATGAGGGGATTTCAATGGCCTTTCCACTAGCCCAACCCAAAACCTGACCCTGCTTCCGTCCTCTATTCACTGCCTCTAATCTGAGGACTCAGTCGAGAGTTGTGCCCCCTCCTCTCTCTCAGCCAAACAGAGGAAATGGAGGTCCAGTGTGTTTTTACAGGGATAAAACCCCCTGAGAGCTCAGACCCAGGAAACTACTGTGAGACGGTGGAACATCTCCCCCACAGAGCAAATGTAAACTTCCTCCTCTGACATCAGACCAAGCAGCAGCTTTAATTAGAAGTCAGGCTGTGCATCTTATGTGTAAATATAGTATATCCTAAATCATGGCAGGGACATATACCCACTGTCAGAGGCTGATTATCTAAACATCCAACACACTGTTAAATACTCCAACACAAGGAAATCTCACTTTTCAAAGTAAGTCAGAAAGTCACCGACGTGGTGCAACATACCAAACCTCAGTTGCTTTGCATCTATTATTATAATTATTGTTTCTACAATATATGTTATATTTTCAAAAAGTTAGATTTAAAACCTTTTAAAGACCACAATTAATTAAATTTAAAACCTCAGTCAAGTACGACAGATATAAAGAAATATCAGAGTCCCAGAATTACCAACACTTTCCCATAACTGAAGTTAAGGTGAAGTAACGATGTACAGAATAACCATAAAAATACTACGGTATCTCACATACCACAGGTAGAAACATTAGGTATTCAGTCTTCCCCTCAGAAAGTTTTTCTATCCCTATATACAATCTCATAACTTATCAAACTGCCAGATTTGAAAAAAGTTTAAATATACAACACAAGTTGAAAGTCTGAAAAGAGCTGTTGTGTCTGGTTGCTAAAAAGACATACTGTTAAATCTAAGATCCGACCAAATCCTATAAGATCAAATATTTCCCCATATACTGTAACCTTTGTTGTGTCCAGCCTTGCAGATAGTTTCAGTTTGGTTTTCATAGGATTTAAGAAACCTGCTGTGGAAACTTTTCATTTGTTGTACACAGACCATTTAAATTTTGTGATGATGTACTGTATCTGTTAGGTTTTTATAAAATACCATAATTCTATGCTTTGACAACACAGACAGAATTCGGTTCATCTCCAAACCAATCCAACAGAAACCCGAACTATCTGCAGGGCTAAAGACCAGTGACAAAAGAATCAGAATAGTAGTTTGATAAAACAATCTGAGTCATGGTATCCTTGCTAGCTTTTTCTAGAGCTTTCAACCACATATTCCTGCTTTGAACAGCAAACTAAGTTATCGGATAATATGTCAAGGACTGTATAACTACTCATTGTGAAACCAAAGTTCCATACAAGGCTACATCCACACTATGTTTTAGTTTTAAAAGGCATCACCATTGCTATGTTACACCTTTCATTTTAGAAACGATGATGCAGTCACCCGCATTCGCTTCGTGATTGATTCCTCCTCATTGTTTGTCCAAGAAAACTATTTTCTCAACTTACTTTTCATCATTGTAACTCGTATTTTCTGTAACTGTATAATCTGCTTCCTGTTTACACTGGCACGCACAATCATACCCTTTAAGGTGTTTTAGCATAGAAAGGGATTGCTGATGCAAAGCTAAACAATCTTTCGGGATTTTTTATATGCCATTTGAGAATTAAAAAGGTATTCACATGAGTGTAGCCTGAGCTAACAACTTTATTTGCTACACAAGACTGTGAGATGCAGTGGAGCTCTAGAAAAATCTAACAAATTGAGCCAAGATCACTTTGTCAAAGAAGTGAAATGTTATGTCATCAATGGTTATTGAGAGAAAAGGGGAATTTTATTTAATTTGTTAGTAAAAACAGCCAAAGGAAAAGAGATAAGACCCACACAATTGAATCCTACAGCGATAAGCTGTGATTTTGATTCTAAATACTGAAAAAGACCGTGAGGGTCAACTCTTCGCCTTTAACACTGTAGGCATAGCTGAATGGGGGGTTAGATTAATAAGCGCACTAAACTACTAACTGAGGAACTCATTTTCTGAGCAGATGAGGCTGACATGGTAGCCTTAAATAATCAAATCAAATAAAAGTGTTTGTTTAATTGTTTTCATACATCCTATAATTTATCAGTTACTTAAAATTTAGCGAGTGATGGTGATGAAGCTTCAACAAAATGGGTTCCTCGGTACACAACTACTGCAGCGTCAATGATCACATAAACTTAAAGGAGGTTAGTTTTCATGCAAATCAGGAAAAAGGTGGTTTACAGAACAAAGAGCGACAGTGTTAAGAAGGTTAGGGAGTGGGAGTATGGGACGGGGGGAGGAAGAGGGATCTGGGAATGCCACAAAGGGACACAAGGCATCACAGATGGAGGACGGCAAGGACAACGAGCGCTTCCACCTTCAGGTTTTCCAGGTCTTTCTCGTATTTCAGCCGTTGAGTTGTAACGTCGCCCTGCTCTTTGCGTCGTCTCATCTCTTCCGTCATGACTGAAACTTGGGTCATCAGCTCTTGAATGCGCTGCTTCAGGGTTGAAGTTTGGGCCGAATCAGGATGCGAGGCTGTATGCTCGTCTGTCGAAGTCCTCTCTGGCTTGACTGGACTCATCATGCTCCTCAGCTCTTCCATCTCCCGGTCAAACCTCTCCATGAGGTTCGACCTTTCTAATTTGTGCTTCTTCTTGAGGTTCTCCATGCAGCAAGTCAATGAGTCGATCTCTTTCACGTTTTCCTCTGACCGGAGACGTAGGGTTTCGCTTGCCTTAGCTATTTCCTGCCTCATCTTTTCAGCTTCCTCCTCATAGCCGTCTTTGACCTCTCGAAGCTCCTTTCTATGTCTTGCTATCATGTCTTGTAACTCAATGGTTTTATCCAATGAATCAATGGGCTCTCCTTCAATCTGAATCAAAGTTTGAGGCCCTGGAGTGGTTTTCAGACATGCCTCGGATAGCTGACTCTGGAGATCAGTTAGTTTGGACTGGAGATCACTGGCAACTTTTCTTAATTTGGGGCAATTAGGACAGTCCAAGCCACAAGTTTGAACTTCTGTCTGTTTATGCTTTAGGTCTTTATCATGCTGGACGTTCAACCTAATGATCACATAAGACATGCAGGCTTCTTTGAAAGCTTCAAGCAAATAGTCACAGGGCTGTTTCTGCTCACAATCAAAGCTTGCTTGAGTCATAGACAGGAACTTGTCATCTTTATCAAGCTTTAGCTTTGACGCAAGCTGCTTCAAACTATTTGACTTTGCCTCCAATGTCTCAGTTAACTCTTTAAGAATCATACCATTCTTTTCATTGTCAAGCCAACTGTACATGGATGCAAAATCTGGCTTAGTCACTACTTCACTGTCAACATTCGCTTGTGAATAAATCCCTCTCATCAAGATCATCAGCCTCGTCTGTGCCATCATCTGTTCTGCCACACTTCTCCCACTGCTGCAATGAGTTTCCTCTGGATTTATTTCAGAAGTGCTCAACAGCTGACTCCAGAACTCTCCCTCCACTACCAACCTCACATCTTTTGGACTCACATGCAAAGGCTCTTCTTTCAAAGAACCAAATAAAGTGCCTTTTAAATCACTAACCATTCTCTCTACATTAACATCTACCTTTGATAACATCTCTACAACTTGATTAATCGCCTCAGTCCTCATCTCAACCTCTTCTACTACTTGCTTTATAAGTTCTTTATCCTCAACCTGCTTTTTTCCTGCTGCAACACACTTGCCAACGGTCATTTCTGCTCGTTCTTTCTCAATTTCTAACTTCTCTTTCAGCATTCTTATTTCATTTTCTGCTTCTTCTAGTTTCTCTCTACTTACTTTCTGATTTTCCTGGTTTAGTGCTATTAGTTCAGTGTTGCTAGCCTCCAGTTCAATACAGCGCTGCTCTGTTGATTGCAGGTTTGACTCCATTTCAAACAATTTTGTTTGTGAGGCTTCCAGTAGCTCGTTGAGTTGCTCTTTTTCTGGCTGTAACTCCTCGTCCTCATAATCTGTCGGGAAGCCCAGACCTTTCATTGTGGCCTCTTTCAACTGCAGCTTCTTCTCTGTGTCTTTAAGGGTGTTGCCAAGCTCCTCCAACGTGACAAGAGCTTCATGGAGCCTCAAGGATTTCTCATTCAGCTCCCTTTCATAATACTCCCTGTCTATGGCATTAGCTTGATTTTCAGCCAGTTCAGCCTTTAGTCTTTTCAACTCCTCCATTACTAGATGATGCTGTTTGCCGCCCTGCTGGCTGATCAGCTCAGCTTTCAGTCTGTCTATTTCTCTGTCGGCCTCAGTCAGTTGGTTCACTATTTCCTGACAGCGTTGTTTCAAAGCTCCATTTTCGTTTGTTAAAAGTTCAACCCTTTGAGAGAGCATTCCAACTGTGATCTCATTTGTCTCTGAATGGTTTTCAATTTTTGATAGGGGGCCGTAGGGGCTTTTTAGACTTTCAAAACCTTGCTTCTGAACTTTCCCCACCAAGTCCTCCATGGTTACAAGACGGGCTTCATATTCACGGATGATTTCTCCTGCCTTGGCTAAACTGTTTTTTATCGTTTCATTGTCTATCTCCTGCTGGTACTTCCATGTCTCCAAGAGCTTCTGAAGTTGATGTCTCTCTGTTGTGGCTTGATTATAAGCATAGGATTTCGTCACTTTCCCCAGCTCTGTCAGAGTTAGCGTTTTACCACTTATCAAGTCTTCCAGCTCCTGAATTGCCTCTGAGCTATCCTGAATCGAGATACTAACAGTTTTTTGAACAGTTTCAGGGGGAGGGCTTTCCAGAATAGATGGATCAGAAAAGTAAGGTTCCTTGATGGGGAGGTGAGAAAGCGAGAGGCCAAGCTGTGCCTGCATATTGCGCTTTTTCAGCTCTTGCAGCTTCAGGAGCTCTTTGGTCTCCTGATACTTCTTTGTTAAACTCTGTGCTTGAGAACTAACCAGTTCGGGCCTCTTCGTCTGAGGCGTCACATCAGCCTCCAGACCCAAAGGGTGCTCCAGCTTGGAAAAGGGGACCAGACAGTTGGTTAACACATAGCAGGGGAGACATAAAGCTTGCTAATAATTTTCAGCGTTATCTATCAATCATTTTTCTCGAAACAGTGATATTACATTTATTCCCACATTACCACATGATGATACCAAATTATGATGAACAGCGATTCAAAAGAAATTCAAAATTCCCTGAGTTGAATGTTGTAAATAAAAAGTAGAGAAAAGAGATTTAATGGTTGGGGTTAGTTAATCATAACAGAGCATGCACATTAAATGGTTAAAAGTTACTTAACATGGTAAGTAATGCAATATTAGTTTCAGCTGGAAGGTTTACTCAAGAATGGAAGGAATACCTGGTCCTACACACACATTTCTCATGTTTTCTGGTCCAAGCTCATGTTTTGTACCAGAGCAATTCTTTTCTGAATGGAGATAGCGAATCATATTATTCAACGCATGTCTAATGTTCAAATATATTTTCAAATGTTCTTTTTAATTCATTGCAAGTCACCGGAATCTTATGTCTACGACAAGAGGCAGCACAAAACAATGCACACACTATATCCTAATAGTCACAGCAAAGTGTAATTCTAACTCAGTTGTAAACAAATTGAATCATCTAAAAAAGTATTCATTCTGTCTCACGTTGGCAAAAACAATCCATACATCACACACGAGCAAAACAATGCATCCAACATCATACCTTTGTGTCACTTTACAGCTACACACAATACTTGTTAACAGAATAACACATGGATGATCTTCATAGCTGTTAATAGAAGATGGGAATCTGATGTCCATGCAAATAATTAGAAAACAAGCCGAGAGGTTATTATTCATACATGTTGAGTCAAACATTTCAACAAGTAAAGCTATTATGCAGCAACAATGACTAAATGGTAATGTAAGGTGAAAGTAAATAACTACTTATAGAACTAACAATAGATGTGATTTAAGTGATTTATACTGTATACACATAATTTACATAATTTGCCTGAAAACAACTGAAATATAAAATTGATTCTGATTTTTCAAATTAGGGCTTTCTTTTCAGTTGATATCAATAATTATCCTGATGCCACAATTTCTTTTAAAGAGGCATTTTTGCTCCTGAGTAAAGGTTGTGGTTCTAGACTATTTTTTTACAAATCTGAGGTTGCTTGATAATGTCTTATACATCCTCAATATGCTTGCACATTGCATAAGCATTTTATGAATATAGTATTAATATTGTGCTAATGATTTATATTTCTATATCAACCATCCGTACTTCAAATTTACTTATTCTCGTTTCCTTTTAACATCAAATTGTAGCCTAATTATTTCAAAGTCAAATCAGCAACCATTACGCTGCTGTTCTTTGGTCCATAATCAATGCAATTGTCAAGTAACTGCTAGCATGAGTTCAGGTATCATAACAGTCCTATGACAAAGAGAGGAGATTAACTAGTAGAAGCCAATTTTGTATTAAGACCTTAATGTTTTTCACATGCAATGAACTCATGCAAAGGCACATATCTGTAGCCACTTTGTTGCTTAAATGTCAGTTTGATGTTTTCTTATAGTAAAATACAACATGCAAAGAATGTTACAAAATGAAGGGAAAAATACAACTTGACTGAAAATCTACTCCAGGACCTCCCATCATAGCAGAGTCACATAAAGTCCAATGCAGCTGCATACTGGAGACAGAGTCGTTACTCACCGGAGAGATGTAACCTGTGCGGATGTCGTGCTCTCGCTCCAGCGCTGTTCTCAGCTGCTGCTCCAGCAACTGTTTGTGATTGTTGGAGTCGATGAGCTGCTGGTGACAGTTCTGCAAGTGTAACTTCAGGTCCTCTATCTGCAGAAGCAGCAGTCAACCTTTGATTAGCTAACAATTTCTTCAAGGACGTGCTATTCAACTGTACTGTACCACATGAGGAAAGAAATTCAGCATAACAATTAGCTGGTGATTGATTAGTTAATAGATAATGTGAAACTAATATATTATACGACTGTTCTTCGATAAAACACATTAAAGTTGTTTATAAAATTAAATTTATGACCAAATCTTTACAAAAACTCTACATTTATGGGTTGAACATGGCTAATATAGCCACCTAGTGTTTCAAACCACCTTGGACCTTTCAGGACCAGTGTTTAGGTAGAGTCAACCATTGAGGATGTCTCTACGTCATTACATTTATACCCCCTCGTGGGGGTAGACATGTCACTTTAATCAATGACAACTCGCTTTTATTTTGAAGTTTCAATGTTGTCTCCAGCTCGCTTTTATGTACTCACTAAATTTGAAACTGATGGAATTGAATAGGAAGAAAAATTCCATAACTTAAAAAGGTAATTTACCCCTTGCTTGTAATTCTCCAACAGCTGCTCCAACTCTGCCGTCTCTCTTGTTTGTGCTGTGGTGGGCAGGGGCACCCTTCTCTCGTCCCGTATGGGTGTCTTCTCCACCTGTTGCCAGTGTTGTTCTATCACCTCCTCCACCCTCTGCTGCCTCTCCAAAGACGTGGGACCTAATGAATCCAAAGGTCCGACTCCCTCTCCACTCTCATAGTCTGTCCTCCCTGCCTCTTTAGGGGATGTATGCTCTGCCGATGAGCTTGTCACAGACTCATACCTTTTCCGCCTCTCCTCCCTCCTCCGGCTCCGCTCGAGCTCTCCCAAGTCTGCCCGGAGGCTCTCAGCCTCTTGTGCTCTCTGCTGAGCCAGAGCCTGAGCGATGGGTCTGAATTCCGCCCAGTCGAAGGTCTTTGAGCGTCCTTCTCGTCGTCGCTCGCGTGCCCGGCTCTTTGTGACACCCGGAGTGGATTCTCTCTCTACAGAGGAGGCCTCTGATGAAAGAGAGTCCTGAGTGACGTCTGGTCTAATCAGACCTTCCAAAGGAGAGAAGGAGCCATGATCCTCAGTTGAGCTGGAATGCAGAGAAAAGGAAAGTGAGCCAACTGTCCAAAGTGCTGAGATTTGTGTATCATTTATTAACAATGGATCGAAATGAAATATTTCATGTTGCCTTCATTAGTTTATGACTTCAAATGGAAAGAACTATACGATTTTGTATAAAAAAAAACTTTACAGAATGTTTTTTTCAAATACCATTTTCATGCATCATATTTCATCATTATGGTTGATAAGCATGTGTGATACTGTAGACATGAGTGTGCTGACCTCGCCACGTCAGGGGCAGTGGAGGGTCTGACATTCTTCATGACCGCCTGGATCCAGTTCCTGCGTATACCTGCCGTCATGGCGGACAGAGTGTGCACTCCCTCCTGTGTCTAAACATTTTAAAGCACAATGAATTATTCATCGACTGACCATAACAAAAAACATACATCTATTATGCAAGGGAAAAATACAACTTGACTGAAAATCTACATCAGTTTCAAATTACCATACTCAAGACAAGAGTGAAAAACAATTAAAAGAAAAAAACAGCTTTTACTTTATTAGAATAATCAGGTTTATTATATTCAATGCTTAATGCCTGAATGAAAAAACATTCATAGTACATACAAAGCATCTTACATGTATTTGGAAACCATAGTTGCGTTGGGCCTGGTACTCAGTAACATTGTAGCAAGTGGACAGGTCAATCTCACCATCCAGGTCAGAGGCCTGAGGTGAGGGAAAGATTAGAAACATGAAACATTGATTGAGGCCTGGTATTAACATACGTCCTGAATGATCAGATCACGTGTCGTTAGTTCTAAATTCAGATCTGAACGAACCCAAATGTGTCCATAGGACGCATGTGACCACATTCTTTTAGCGGTGTGAATGCAAATGCATCCTGGGCCACATATGAAGGACCACCTACTTAGCTATCGCCTCTGACCTGCAACAACCAGAAGTATTTTACATTTCTTAGGTTCTTCTTCTCGTTAGGTTGCTTTGTTTGCAGCCGATGACACAACATTAACACTGACAACTAAATAACAATTTTCATAACATTCTTCATAGCAGAGCTGCACTCGTGCAAACACTCACTATCTCTCACTCACACACACACACACACAGTGACAACAGTTTCATCTGTGAACTAACTGGGTAAAGAAATGATTTGGTCTTCTCAAACAGAAATGATAAGTGTGAATTTGCATAGAGCTAGGAAGTGAGATCTGTAAGGATGATGAATGAAAACCTATAAGCTCACCTCCTCTGCTATTGAATCCTTGTAGTATCTCAGGCTGTGATCCGTCAACACAAACCAGTATTTTTTCCACTAAGATGTGGAGAGAAAAATAAGAGAAGATCTGAAGACAGAGTTCTGGACAGCATGTTAGAGAAGACATCCTGTCTGTCAATAAAAGCTGCTCTTTGTGGCAGCAGTGTTTGCGTGTCGATCATATCATACGAAGAGTTACTTTAAAGGCTGCTGTTTCACCTTTTGACTCCAACGCTCCTTTCGACTATGGAACCAGATTTCTTTATAAATGCCAGTGACATAGGGTCATTTACTGCCCTGTGTCAGACTGTCTGTTGTTTGAAATTTGATATACTCATTAGACTGACGCTCCTTTAAGCTCAAACTGCTTTTGCTTCAGCAGTTAAATGTTTTTTTACACAGTTTTTCTGTCTGATTCACATAGACAATATTAGGTTACTTGATAAATGACTTAATGGTACCTGGCCTTGCTCATCCAGTTTCACCATCCAACCTTTCTTGAAGTTCAGCAAATCCGGCTGAAAAAAAAAGAAAGAAAAAGAATATTGAAAATACATTTATGTGGAATAGAGTGGAAACGTGTAAAACTGGTTAACATGCAAACTGACCTCAGAGGCAATAAAATACAAATGTGACTTTTCAATAAAAAGTGCTGCAATGGATGACCAGCACTTACCTTAAAAACACAGCAACATTACACAGACTAAAATAAAACCGCCCATACAAGTATTAAAAAAACAACTCCTAAATGACTCTGACTGATGTGACTGTAAGCAGAAACACATGCTGAGGGTAGAAGTTGACCCAACCGATGGATGAGACTAATTTAAAGCTGTGGATGAGAGATGGTCTAAATGTGAACCACTGGACAGGGGCAACTTCTGCCAGACTTTGCTGCTGTTCTGTGCTACTCCAGCTCCAGTGCTCAATAACTGTTGTAGTCTGCACACAGTGGAACAAACACTAAGGGCACGGTCACACATACAAGCATGGCAAACCTCAGCCTGCTCGTCACAGTGAGGGTGCAAGAAAAATGTTTTTTTTTCTGCATCAAAGCAAAAAACTGCTTGGCTTGGCGTTGGGTTAGAAGTCGTTGAACTTTGACCCAGGACATTTACCTGCATTTGCATATGTGTGACCGTGACCTGACACTCATAAATGTGAGAAAATGGCCTCAAGAAGCAGTGGTTAGTTGTGACATACACGCACACGTATCAGGGCACTCATGGCACAAAACTGGGTGCACACAGTGGGCACAATCTGCACACAAGGGGAGCAGAATAAGGTGTATAACCTGGAGAGGAGAGGGAGAGAAGGGAGCTGCACTGCCGTCTGCAGCATGGAGGTTTGGCCTACAACGCCCACACCTTCGCACAACCACATCAAGGCCAAAGACTCATTAGGGAAAATGGCAACTTACTACACACAACTTAACTACACACGGATGTCAGGCGTTTTCACACAATGTGAAATAGGATAACAGTCCTGAGTGTGGAAAAATGCTCATTTTCCTTGTCTCAACGTACTGGAGAAGGCTGGAGCTTTAAAATCACAAAAACAACTGGTTGGGTTAAACAGGGCATCTAATTTATTTGACTAACTGTATCTCAAAATACTGCAATATTATGTGTGAGAGAGAAAAGCTGTTTTCAAAAGATGCCACGTAAACCACACTGTTGGAGAATGTCCACACAGACCTTTCTCAATGTTTAATTCTCCTAACGCTGTTACCTAACTGATTCCAACTTCCCAGCCCCAACAACAACCCAGCGACTTCGCTCCGCTCAGCTGAAGATCTGGCACTGAAGCTGACCCTGGATCCTACAGCTTAGAGGGAACAGGAGAGGCTTTGTCTGGGGTACAGACTCACTGAAACACACCGGCCTTCTGAGGGAAAATTCCCCATTTGTGCGTTAGTTAATGTCAAACACAATCAAAACAAAATCCAAACTTAAACCTAGTCGTATGCTGATTGAATTCCCCGCGCCTGAGCTCTACGGATCTGTCTCTATCACTAAACCCCCTCCTAAACTGTAATAGTTGGCCTGTAGGACATCAACAGGATATTCAGGAGCATTCTGGGAAGAATCAAGCAGCCGGTTTTGCAAGATGCTTCACTTTTCTGTGAGAGAAATGATCATTTAATTAAACAAGGAAAAATTACAACTGATATCTAAGGCAAGTTTTACAGTCTGGTTATTGACACTTTTTATTTTGAATGAGAACAGACTGACTGCTGTGGGATTCTGGACTCTGTTAGTCAGCCTGACAAGCAATTTATTGATTATATTTTATTGATAAAATGGCTGATTCTGCATTTTCTATATCTCGCTATCAGATTTCTTCTTTATCAATTAAAAGTAATAACAAGATGCATTTCATCCTCTTCTATTTAAGCACCCTGGTCTCAATAACTCGTCATTTACACTACAAAAATGTTTGGATGATGAGGGTTTACATGCATCACAACTTGCCAGGGTTGTACCTTGAGAGGATGTGTTTTACAAAAGAGAGGAGATGAAACACTCACAGTCATGACTGACTCCGTGGTCCTTCGGTCCAGGGACTTGGCTCTCCTCAGAGGGGGCAGGGTGGAGGGGAAGTCCAGACCCTGACCAACACTGTGCCTCTGCTCCTGCAGAACACACCGTTATGTTTTTCTAGGTTGATTTTACGCACACTTGAGGTGAATTAACTCCTCATGAAAAACTGAAAATACAACTGATAATATAAAGATAAAAAAGCAACATGGACATGTAACACAGACGCATGTTAATAAAGCAAGAGTCGACATTTGAAAGACAAACATTACAAATCACTTGTCGGCCACATTCATACTACATTTTTGTTTGTAAAATGGAGTTTCAAACTAAAACTCTCTCTGCCCACACAAGCGTGTTGGCTTCATCTCAGTTTTGATCTCTGTCCATACTAACATGCCTGAAAACATATATCACGTGAGCACTCACATACACTGGGAATGTATGCGCCGGTGTAATCAGTGAAGGTTACGTCAGGACCATAAAGTCCCGATAAGCAAGCAGTTGTGAGTGTCTTCATCATTCATTCCAAACATCTCAGTTTCTGCCCACAGCTTGTGTGTGTGTGTGTCTATGTGTGTGTGTGTGTGTGTGTGTGTGTGTGTGTGTGTGTGTGTGTGTGTCTATGTGTGTGTGTGTGTGTGTGTGTGTGAGTGCGTGCGGAATGATGCACACAAGCAGTCTTGGCATCTTAAACTGTACACGTAAGTAATATTTTTACAAAACTGACAGGCCAAGACAAAACAGTCCACATGTTTAACAGTGTCTAACTGTGACTGAGTGCATCAGTATTGTTAGGTCTCTGTGTTTCATTAATTCTGGGCCATTTTATCTGCACACTGAGGGCCATGGTGGGAAAGGGAAGCATAATCGCCAGGGGAATCCCACCACAGAATGGAAACTGGAAATGAATACAGCACACGCGGCTGACCTCTGACCTACAAACAAAACAAAGACAGGACAGCGAGAGGGAGAGATGGAGGGAAGAGGGCGAGGGTGAAGGGAAAAGATGTAGGAGGAGTGGGGGGAGGTGCTGGGACAGAATAATTAAAAAAAAGCAAAAGCCAGGCTCCAGACCTGAGTTCACATCTGTTCTGTCATGTGAGGCTGTTTAAAAAAAATGTTTACAAGTCTCACTGTATCTATTGTAAACCACTCTGCAATGTTGGCACTGCTGGATCACTGTCTAAGTGCACACACACATTAACACACACGCATGCCTTACCTCTCTGTGGAAGCGTCTGTGCTCACTTCGGCCCTGTCTCTCTCCACTCCTCCCCAACTCTTCCACCTCCATTTTTTCTTGATTCTCCAGCTCCAAGGCCTCCAGCTTCTCAATAACGCCAGAGCGACTGCAAACCAAAACACAAAGAGTTAAGCAAAATGTATTTAAATCTTATTCCCAAGCAGGTGATTCTCTGTTCACAACAAACGGAGTGTTCGGGTGAGGGGTGGCACAGCAGGCAGAGGGAGGAGGAAACATATCAATTCTGCTGTGGGGATCACATGTTGTTGTTTACTGTACATCCATGCCAGGCCTTATAACCAAAAGTTCTCTAATCTCATTGTCTTTTCAAGTTGACATCTACTTTGGTTGTCTTCTGTGTATGGGTCCTCTTATTTATCCTAAGATATTTGTATTGTCTTATTTTTCAGTTTTGCATAGGTCGCATTTTAGAAACAACATCAATGCACCCGATCGCTCATGGTGAATCTTTTGGATAATCTCCTGCTGTACTCGGTACAGGGCTCATTTGGACATGGTCCTCAGTTTTTACTTGGGAGCTCATGAGAGAAATTCTGGAGAAAGTCAGCAGCAACTGACTTGTACATTTCTGTTCTCACGTATATCTCCTCTAGATTATTTCAGGAGCTCAACGCATGTCTGAAAGAAGCTTCAGTGAGACACAGCTTGAGACAAGGCATGTTGTAACAGGTGTTTGCTTTCAAGACATGCATGAATCTCCTAAATCTCTTTGCTTTCATATGCTACTGCTGGTACAACCTCATCGATTGGTTGTTGAGTTTTAACTTTTACACAATAAAAACATGCTATACTGGCAAACCAATGGGGTGCTTTTATTTTGAAGCAGCTATTAGCCATGCTATTATTGCAGTTGTCTATGGCCTAGCTCAGTGCAAACACCCCCATGCAACAGAAAGACAACATATATTTGCTCATTGTAGAGACTTGTGAATGCTAATGTATAAATAGCAAACAGCTACACAATGTTAGCTGTAATCTAGGAACACATTTCAGGCAGGTCACCATGGAGGAATCAAAGCTTCCACTAACGCGGCTTTGTTAACTGAGCCAGATAAATGTGCAACATGTCAAGGTGAAGATCCACGAGACTTAAGGAGGCTAAAGAGTAAAGCCACCTGGTCATAAAGCTGAAAGTCACAGAGCTATGCAACATTAGGTCATTTATGAAAAACTGCATCTGGAGGATCGATCTGAAGAACTTTGGGAAAAAGGTGTTGTCTGCGCTCACTTGTGTTCATTTGCAACCATCCTCAAACTGTGACACAGTACGTTACCAACTCTGACACACTCCCACACAGGGCCGTTGTTAAGTGAGGGAGGAATCTGCATTAGAGGAGGAAATATTATATTACTCTGTTGTCTAAATTCTGCCCTTATTTGGGGACTCTTTAGCCAAAGCTGCTGTCCTTAAAAGGGAATGAGGGAGAGGGGATGGGGATAAGGACAGTGTGAGGCCAAACACCCACCATATGATCTTAATGTGTTTCAGGCCTTACTCCAGGAAAGCTTATGGGAATTTGTGTCTTTTAAAAAATCTAGCGTGAGAAGGTCACATTCAATTGTCCTGATTGTAATCAAACTTAATAATATTTGTCAGTCATGATTCCTGGCCAAAGACCTTCCTGTGGTGTGTCTACTGTCCTCCTGACCTTTACATAAAAGTGACTCCAGCACATATCCAGGAGGCTTATGTGTTAAACTGCCATCACATAAATGTGGCACGGTTCGTGTCTTAGAAGGAGCTTAAGTCTGAGGCACGTCTGCTCAAACCCCAGACTGGCTCAAGTGGTCCACTTGAGTAATGTGCTTAAGAGTTAGTATGTAGGCACTCCTCCCTTTCCTTTCATGCCTGGTATGGATGGAGCAACTGAGTGGAGCAGGAAGCAGGCCGGGAGGAAAAAGATGCCCCCACCTCAACCCGGCTGGTTTGTTTGAAATGTTACTGCCTCTGGTTTGTGTGTGAGACCTGTGACCTCTCCATGAACAGCACAGGGGTCAAGAGGCAGATTACTGAATGGAAAGATTGTGAGAGTGCTGATACTAACATTAACACCTAACAGTTTGATGCCTCCACCAACCAATCAAGTTTCTGGGAATATGGACAAAATTTCCCCTTCAGCTCCTGACACATGGTGTTGAACAATGGCCAGGGAGTTTTACATTATGATGTCAGAGTGGGGGTGGCCTTTTGGATATACAATCTCATCACTTAATCATTATAGCTAAATAGATGGGCAACTTTGTCAAACTTGGTTTATAAATTATGGAGGCATGGCCAATAATATATAGTAAACTTCCAATCTTGTCAGGTCATACCAGAGTCCAAATTTGAAGACATTTTCTTGAGACGTTCCTGGGATACTGAGTTCACAAGAACGGGATGTATGTTCATGAGAATGAAAGCGTTCATAATGTCTTCATCCACAGCAATTTCACAAGGGCAAAAAAAAAAGAACTATGCAGGGGAGGAGCGATTATTAAAAAACAGATTTTCTCAGAGACTCACACATAAGTGGGTTATTCTGAGCACATGACAAATCTCCATACGTCTTAATTCTTCCATTAAAACCACAGTTGTAGGAGTGCGTGTGTGTGTGCACATCAAAAGCTTTGTGCGTCACTAGACTGTGTGCATGTGTGTGTCCGTGTGAGTATATACATGCCTTTAAAAGGATAAGCCTGAGGCACATGTATTTCCAGAGCACGGTGTCTGTAGCACAGAGCTGAGATTCGAAGAAGGCAGTCTACTAAGCTGGTTCATCAGGTTAAATCACAGACTGATTCAACTGTTCACTTGTCAGTGAGGAGAGCGAGGTGTTATCAGACTAAGAATATCGCCTCCTCTAAAGTCTCACACACGTGTCTGTGTGTGCTCTTGTTTCATTCAGGCCTCCTTCAGGAGAACAAATAATTCCTGAATCAGTCAAAGAGAGGCTGTTCCCATTTTCAGTCTGATATATTCAGAGTCAAAGTGCCTGCACAGAGGGCTGTTTGACATTTGCACATAATGACTTTGCCCAAGCATCTTCATGTGCCAGTGAGTGTGGCAGACGGTCAAGCGTGGGTGAGTACTTTTGAACACAAGCACTCACAGATGAGATGAAGCACGGCTGCACTGTTTTCAGTTATTTATGTTACTTTTTGCTGAGACTGGCCAGAGCAACCCATATACTATACATGAGTTGTTTTAAGGAACATTCCACTTCTATTTGAAACATTGAAATCAGTTTACTCAGCCTGTAAAAATAATTGTATATGTTTCCTGCAGGAAATATGAGACTACAGATTCATCAGAAAAAGTCTGTCTTAGTTCTGCATTGTGGAAATTGAGTTCAGCTTTAATGGAGCTTAAGTTCAAGAAATATCAGATATTAGTAGAACCTGACCAATATGAACCTATCACAGACAGTTCGGTATCAACATTCACGTTTGCTGATATGAAGAATTTTAGTTTACAGAAAGATGCAATTATGTTTTCCAAAAATATTGTTTCTAGTTCAGTCATTTATGTATTACGCATTTGTGAATTTTTATTTACAATAAAGTTTATGGTTAAACTGCAAAATATCAAGCCTCAGTTACATTTCTTTTTCCAAAATCTGTATTGTGTGGGCTCAAAATATTAGATTATCTTGTTGTCCTTAACTCAAACTCATGATATCTTGGCTTCTTCTGCATCAATGTGTAGCAGTATGCTTATATTGCATTTCTTGTGAAACTTCATCATCACAATGTTAGTTGTCAGCAGCTGCAGTCTTAAAATACTAGTTGCATATTTCTAAACTGTGTCCTTTAACTCATTTAGACTGGATGCAAACCATTTTGTATGTACATTTGAAAGCAGGTGCAACGTTCACCTGGTGAAAACATTATTGCAAATAACATTGAAGATTAAGACCCATTCAATGTTCCTGCTGACCCAATGACCAAGGCTCAGTGGGTCAAAGACATGTTTGAGGAAGAGAAAGAAATGTGGGTCTTGATGAGTTTGCCGGGTTTGTTTGTTATAAAAAACTGTTCATAAACTTTAGGGAAAATGGAATGGAAGCCAAATGGTTAAGCTGTAAAAAATGTTACTATTTCATGTCTGTATCTGCTTAAGAGGCTGAAAGTGGAAACACAGGTAATTCTGTCAGCTCCTCAGAAAATCCTCAGGTTCTAGGTGTTTTTTTTTTTCAAACAATGCTTAAGTTTACAGTTTGTTTATATTTGGTGCCTTAGGTTTTATGGTTAAGTCAAAAAGTTGGGAACCACTGAGTTAAAGTCAGGTATGAGAGAGACTATAAAAGGGACATTTAGGGACACCATTATGGATAAATACAAAAGCAGATGCTGACCTCCTCTCGGGGCTGAGGACGGCCTCCCTCTCCTGCCTGTCAGGGCTCCTATACCGACTCCTCTTCTCTGCCTTTCTGGCCTCAGCCTCCAGCCGTCTGGACCGTGGCGTGTCGTGGTGGCTGTAGGGGTGGCTGCCTCTCTGGGAGGTCGGGTGACTCTCTGTGCTGGTCACTGTGCTGCCACTGGCATCCGAGTCCAAAGAGCTGACCGAGCCGCTGATGTGCGAGCCATTGGAGAGCAGGGAGCTGCCAGAGGGAAAGGGGTCACTGGGGGCTGGGGAGAGGCAGCGTGGGACTCCTCCCAAGCTAGAGCAGGAGCCTGTGGGGGAGAGCAGGTCGCTGGGTGGCTGCGGCACAGAGCTGTGCATCGGCAGGCCTCCCCGGTCCACTTCGTCGCCATTGACTGAGCCTGCATCTGAGCCATGGCCCACAGATGCACATTCACCTTGACAAGAAGAGAGGGTGTCACACGAAATCTTCACAATTTGTACTGTTCTGTCTGTTAATATCTTCATGTTAGCTTTGTTTGTTACTTACAGAACATTTACAACGTTTCTTTAGTTCAAACACTTGATAAACACTATACAGGGTTCCTCTGTACAAAGCTGTTTTTCCTCCTTACCTGTGGAGGGCAGTGGTGATCCTGGGGGCACGTCAGCAGTGGCCCAGACTACAGCTCCCTCAGCCTCCCTCTGGTTCAGCTCCTCCTGCCAGATTATGGAGCTGGAGTCTGGAACCTTCTCTGCCTCAGGGATACCAGAGCCAGTCACTGCTACCTTGGCTGGGCCTGGCTCCTGGTGATGAGCATATAAAAGTAAAAAATCAAAGGAACAATAAATGGGGGTGTGTGTTATCAAGCTATGAGACACATTCTTTCTGTATGATAAAAGGGATTAACCTGGGAGGTTGCAGGCTCCACCTTGCGTTTCTTCTTCTGGTTCTGTTTGTTGGTGCGGGGGTAAACCACCAGCTGCTCACTCCACCTGAAACAGACACACTGGAGTGTTTCTGACATTTGTGCATGGACATCTGAACCCTGCCCACGCCATCAACAGCCACAGCCAGACAACTCACCCATTGATGATCTCTTTATTCTCCCCTCTGATGAAGTACTCCTGGTCTGGCGTGATGATGCACAGGGAGTTCTTCTGGCCTGTCTTGGGCTCAGCATCAATGACGTCTGTGCAGAGGTTCATGTTCACTGTGCCCTGAGGCAGCGTGCTTGGCTAGAGGAGAAACATGACAGACACTGTTTATTGTACACCAGAGTGTATTATTTTATTTTAGTATTAAATAATAGCAAAGCTGTAAATAATTCAAGTATTGCAACACCAGGGTCATTTAAGAGGAAGTGCAAGAGTGGAGCTTAAAAAGAACAAATGTGGAGAAAATGTAAACAGGATGCTTGAGTCATTGGTTTGAGTCCCTATCCAATGGGTGACTGATTGACTAAACACTGATGTCACTGATAACACATTTATAATAGTTGAGGACTTTAAAACAGAAGATCGGATGGGAATCATACAGTGTTTCACAGACTTGGCTTCGTGGGTTTCACTGTATGTCTCATCCAGTCCGTCATCTGTCCCTCTTTTTCACAGGCAGACTTCAGGGCACATCATGCCTGTACTGTATGGACAATCATGTGTAATCACCAGCTCACCATGGTAACTAGGCAAATCCCCTCAGTTGCAGCGCAGAGTGAGTGGAAAGGGGAGATGACAGCAATGGGATGCCGGACTAAAGCGGCTTTGTGTGTGTGATCAGTGAAGAACGTAGAGCTTTGTCTGCTTTGTAAACCAGCAAGGAGATTTGTAATGCTGGAAAAAAAAATCTCAACATCTTTGGAGTCAAACTGAAATCAAACAAGCCATGGCCAAAGCACATATGTCACATTGTCTGTGTGTTTTATGTGAATAGATTGTCATTTGAACCCAATAACTTATTGTCTCATTAACATCAGAGGGAGAAATTCCCTAAACTTCCTCTTCTCGAACCTGTTCTTTGTCTGCTCTGAATCCTGCAGCTCTGTTATCAGGCTTCACTGAAGTCTGGGCCTTCCTACAGATGTAAAACAGGTGCTTGGTCTCTTTTCCAGCTCCTTTTAAGGCCACTGAACACAGATCCAGCTTTATTAAGATCTGCCTTTAAACCCCTGTGGGCTGCCAAATATGGCAAACTGCGTCGCACTTTGGGCGCTGTGGAAGAATTTCCCTCAGCAGAATATTTTTTTTTTTAAGAATAAGTAGCAGTGGTAAATGACTCTGTCAAAGTGATGGTGAACGCTGCAGTGTGGTCAAACCTAGGTCACTTTGATATTTTATTGATATTATCTGAGATAAGAATGGTAACATACTGAAACTATGCATGACATACTGTGTGGAGAAAAGCTGAAAAAACACATTGTGCACTCAGTTATCTATAACCATTAATAGGCCTTTCCGACCAAAAACAGTTCCAGGAACCTTTGAGTCTTCTGATCTAAACTCAGGAACTAAGCGAAGACCTTAAGTTTCTTCTGCACAATCTTTCTTCATTTCCACCACATCAGTAGAATTGCATGTTTAAAACTGTAATTATTGCCCTGAGCGCTTGACTGGCAGAATAGGCAACTATTTTGAGAATGCAATAATTGCTTTGGTTATTTTTTCAAGCAGAAAATGTTAAACATCTGATGGTTTCAGGTTCTGAAAAGACTTTACTTTCCGAGTATCATTGAGTTGGGATAAAAAACTGATACTGAAATCAGTATCATGTATAGTTCCAATACTGTGCTTATGTAGTTTATGTAATTAATTGTTACTACTGTGACACAACTTCTCCAGATACCAATTTATGGCAACATTGTTAGGTAGGTAGTGACAGAGGGGCTGCATCGGCCGCTTAAAGCTTTTTGGACAAGCACAAAGCTGTGGCTGATAGCACCAAATGAGTTTGCAGCAACTCCTGGAGAAGCATGACATTCAGGTGCAGCTCAAACTGCATATAAGGCCCCTTTTCCACTGGTGAAAAATCATCAGGCTTTTGTCTGCGATGAAATGGACTCAATGGGCATTCACTCGCAGGTCAAATGACAGTGATAACAACAAATACACCTGATTGAACACACTTATTTCTTCTGACATTCTAGACACTGACGCTGCACCTTTTACGGCATGATGGTATGACATGCATTCGGGTATTGGCGTGTAAATAGCCATTACTGTTTGTGAACATATTGTTTTTACAATCTTTGGAACAATGTGCAGCAGCAATGTGTTATTCAAAATGTGCAAGATGCAACACTGGCAAGACAGTGAGGTGAGAGAGCTTCACAATATCTGGCACATCAGTGATGTTGAATGACTCACTAGCACAAAAACAGAAAGGCCAATCCCTCTACTGAGAATAGAGAAGGAGTCAATTGCCTTAAGAGGGTTTACCCACGTTTAAAAGACCTCCACATACCCACAACTTTTGGTGTAAAAGAGATTTAAAAAGAAAAAGAAAAAAAGGCACCCACAAGACTTTCTACATTCTTCAGTGTCTCATTGAGCAGTAGTGGTCTCTTGGAATATTTGATCTGGGTCAGAATATGAGCTCCCTGGCAATCACACCACTCACGAGTGGACACTTCTGGAAAAAGACTCTATTGAGTTAACACGAAAACTGAGCTCCTCTTATGCTTTGGCATCGGATGTGATTGGATCATGCAAGACGGACATTAAGGCCTTCAGTGGATGTGTAGGATAATCTGTACTGCATAGCTTGTTTTCAACCGTCTCAGTCAACGATGGGTTTTCTTCTCCGGCCGCGAGTCGTGGAATATGAGCAACATCGTTACAACCATGAATTAAGTTCTTATGATGTGAAAAGAAACTGCTATCTGCCTGTAGAGTCGGTTAGAGCAACTTCCACAAGTGACATTTAACTAAGTGAAACATAAATGATGATTACAAAACTGTCTGTTTGAGCACCAAAGAAGAGATGTAAGAAGATAAGTCGTTAATGTGGGATGAGCTCAGTCTGAATAAAACACTAAAAGCATCAACACTGTCAGGTATCATTTCAGAATTAAAGTACCATTGTTGAATTCAAATGAAGCAATAAAAATTTTTGATTGAATTTATATAGTGTATCATGATAAACTAAACCGTCAGTTTGTTAGAAGCTACATTTTAAAAAATGGTTACATGGAAAGTCTGGAACAGATAAACAAATTCAATCATCTGTAAAGATATCTGCTAACATTATTATTCCTAAACTCTTTTATCCCTTCGAACGTAACCTGCACCGGAGCGGGTTAGCAGTTCAGCATAAGTTACCATGATGATTTATGCCAGTGAGAGGTGAGCAAGTGTCGCTTATCTTAATGACTGAAAATCCTGCTTCGTGCCACTTGTCGATACAGGACCTGTGTGTGTTTGAGACAGCGGATGATGAAAACCTCAACATCACTGAACAGTACAACAAAAGAGAGCCCCTCATCTCATACAGACAAAGCACTTCAGTACTGGGGGGTTAATATAGTGTGAGAATAGGGTTTTCAATGCAAGAACTCACCAAATTGTTTTTGGCACCTGGAACTAAAGCGCTAAAGTTCCAGCAGTGAAAAGGGGCTATAACGTTAGAGCACAGTTAACATTCAAGGACTCCAACTAATACTCTAATACTTAACAATTAAAAAAACCGCTGTCCATCCACAAAGTAAGTGGATGACATCAAGCAGAGCCCAAGGAGACGCCCACGGTGCCTGAAGGTGAGTTTTGTGTGTTGTGTTTTGCTCTTAGGTGGAGACTGGATTTCTAAAGTCCAGCTGATCCTTGAGACTTTAAAAGCCACTTGTTGCTTAGAAACTGCCACTAGCAGCAAAACAAAGGAGACGTATCTGCCAGTGCTACCATTCAAAGGCCAACAAATTGTTGTGGGTTTGATTTCTACACAACTGGGCAAATTCCATATCCTCCAATTGTGTCTCGCATCCATGGGGCTGAGTATTTTTAGCTTTGCTGTGAGATATTATTAAAGGCAAAAGACTCCTCTTGAGACTTCAGCCACTCTGGCTTACATGACACGAGAGGCTATAAAACACACTATGAGACAGAGTCAGAGACAATACCACCCACAGGAGATTGATGAGTTAAATGCTTCAAACCAAAAAGGGATGTGTCTATAGGGTAATTGCCGCATGCTAAAAATTTTACTTTTTATAGGAGCCCAGGCCCAACTGTAAACTTTCCCAAAAAAACTGTAAGAAAAAAAAAAACAACAACAGAGCCAGCTGTGGAATTAAGTGGAAAACACCCACTCCATAAATGATAAACCCTCCAGGACGCTTTTATAGGCTGAGCCAAAGGCAAGTCCACCACAGTAGGCTGTGAAGAGGAGACCGCTGTTTTATATGGTAAATGTTACGACACAGTACCCTCCATCAAAAATCTCAACAGACAGAAGCCGCCAGTGTAGTTTCTCAAAATACTGTCCATGCTGTGTCAACTGTGATGCAAATCTTTCAGGAAATCAAACAGCAGAGAATTGAAAACAGTGATGTAGTAAAGTGGTTTAACCCAGCATACGCTGTGCGATTTGAGCCCATGTTAAACTGATTTCTTAGATACACATCTCATTTTAGAGTCTGACTAAATTTCAGCTGTGTTGAGCGTAATTTCTTGTGCACAGAGGGGTGCGAGGAACAATCAAATACTCATGACCACCGGCGGTTGGATGAGTATCTGATATGTCCGCAATTTTTGTCAGATGTCGTCAGGCTCCTGCACAGTTGAAGCATAGTCACGAGGCAATTATCCAAATTCAGCAACTTTTTTCTGTGTTTGTGCAAAATGGCAAAACACAAGTAGGAAATGTAGTTTATGACTTGGAGCAATTGCACCGCAAGGAAAAGATTAAGGGGATCTTACAGTATAGTGTAGGTAGCAATCAATGTACAATATAGTCGCCTCGAATGTAGCTTACTGTAAAATAGCCAAACCAAAATGCCCATGTGTTGCAAGCCATTTGTGTGTCTATGTGCGGAAGCCACAAACAAACTTTGATCTCTTCTTTGACAAAAAAAAACAGACTGGTCTGGAGCCGATCTGAAGGAGCAGCAACGTACAGTGTGCAGTCATGTCAGACAATTAGACTGTAGAGTGATATGGAATTTAACAACATTTCGAAAGTCGTACAGTGTACGCCCAACTTTATTATAATGTCACACAAGAGTGACAGAACTGTTCATCCCT